TCTATATATATATATATAGGCTCTATATATATAGGCTCTATATATTATATAGGCTCTATATATATAGGCTGTGTAAATGTATATACATTTATATGCCTATCCTACTCTAAAACCAGAATTCAGTTACCCGTTTTTTTTTTTAAAGCAAATCTGCCCACATAGGGAACTCGCACTCTACGAGCTTGTCGTACAATTCTCCCACAGTACGAACCAAGCCTTGTTTACGAGCATGACCCAAAGCGGCGTCACAGGGGTTTATCACTCGGTTGTCAAGGAAACGTATTTCTGCCGAACTCAAGCCCAGTCGCTCTGCCAATAACTGCCATTCATTTCCACCTAAAACATGTCAACAATTTATAGAATTAGAGTAACTCCTCACTATTTCATACTTTACAGGTGACACACCTTGCATGCAGTAAACAAATGTTGCCTTGTACGACTCATTGTAATCATTTTCATCATTAATGTTATTATCGCCATCATCGTCATTGTTCTAGTCATTCAGCATTATCGCATTTTATTACAGATAATGCTGTGTAATTTTTAAGGAAATACTTTAATGAGTTAGCGTTGTTGTCATTACTATTGACTGGTTATAAAACAATACGGAAAAGGTTGGGTATTGCTTTAAATTGCTCCGTCAATGGTGCAGAAAACTCCCGCTACCATAGAAGAAGCAAAACCAAACTTAACTGCGGTTTGATCATTCGGGCTCATTCTACGCTTTAGGTAGTTTGCATGTTTTTATTTCCATTAACGTCGCCTATACCCCTTTCGTTTCACTAAAATTTCCGTAGTGATTTACATGGTTTACGAAACTTGATTGTAATGCTCAATCGTGATAAATCCTCTTAGAATCCTAAAAATTCGAAGACGCTACATTAGTGTACCTACCGCTCAAGTGAATTGTCAAATTCCTTCTCTGACTAATAGGAATATCCGCGACGTCACAAGTTTCTTGTAGCAAGGGACCTAAGCAGTAAATAGCAAACACGCCGTTGGAATTATCATGTTACCGATGATTCACCAAAGCGCTACATAAATGGAGCCGAGGAAACATTAACTGAAAGTAAAAAAGAAAAAATGTCTGATCTCTTTAAGGACTGTCGACCAGTTCGCCGTTTACAAATCACCAACCGATGACTTATACTTGGACAGTAGTTTGAGTGTAATCTTGAAATTGTTTGCTTATTGTGGGTTATTCGATCTATGTTCACCAGCTTTCTACATTCAGCAGATTTTGTAACATCTCACCTGTTGTGCCAGCAGGTGCAATCTCCCGTAACCTCTTGACAACATCAAATCTCT